CCTAGATGTAAACCCTAAATAAAAAACTAAGAATAGATAGACAAATCATACAAGATGACCCAGAGCTAGAAGCTGAGGCGGACCGGTAAACCCTAAACCCTAAACCCTAATACTAAACCCTAATACAAAACCGTAAACCCTAATACTAAACCCTAGTGGTAAACAAACCCTAGACGTAAACGCTAGAGCTTAACCCTAGTCGTAAACCCTAATTGTCTTAAACCCTAATCGTAAACCCTAACTCCTAAACCCTAACCATAAACGAACCCTAAACCCTAAACCCTAAAACTAAATAAACCCTAATAATAAATAAACCCTAATCATAAACCCTAGATATAAAAACCTCTACACAGCATCTTCTTTTAAGCAGCAGGGTATATAAAAAAGTTATTTTTTCAGGGTTTAGGGTTTAGGGTCTAGGGTTTAGGGTTTAGGGTTTAGGGTTTTTTGGTGTGTATATATTGCAGGTTATATGAGGAGAATATAAAGATAGTATCAGCAGCATCATCTTTGCATGCAGATACAATATTTGGGGCTTTGGATGGTTCAGCAACAGGAGAATCTATAAAACCCTTTTTACGTTTACCTTATCGAGGGTTTATAAGCTGGAGACAAACCCTCCGTTCTTTAATTAAATTTATTCGTTTTGTTTTGCCCTATCAAATAAAACAAAAAAAAGGAGGAAAAGGATATAATCTAAATGTACAACAAGCTCTATGTATTGCACAAACAGATCCTGAACCAGAAGCAAGAGAACAAGCTCTACTCGCCATAGACTCGTAAACCCTAAACCCTCATAAACCCTCATAAACCCTAAACCCTCAAAATGTCAAAAAAAAATTTTTTTTTTATATACCCTGCTCCTTGTGTTTATACCTTAGGGTTTACACTTATAAACCCTAATTTTATACGCTTAGCATGTGAAACACTAAACCCTAGTAAACCCTAGGTTTTTTACAGCTGCAAGAGAGATATATGAAGTTGGTGGTTTACTCGGGGAGAACAAACCCTAAACCCTAAACCCTAAACCCTTTTTTTTTTTTTCTGTTGCAGCATCATGCAGCAAAGGAAATTCAGAGAACAAGTCCTAAACGGAGTTCGTCTCATCCTTCAAGTCCGCGAAGCAGAAGAAAAAGAGATGGGATATGCGGTGAGGGTTTAGGGTTTAGGGTTTAGGGTTTAGAGGGTTATGCAGTGAGGGTTTAGGGTTTAGGGTATAGAAGAATATGCATTGAGGGTTTAGGGTTTACAAGGATCAAACCACGTTGCGTTTCGAGCGAAATTACATCCGTGTATTGACTGTTGAATATTTCAAGGGTTTAGGGTTTTTTAGGGTTTAGGGTTTTTTAGGGTTTAGGGTTTTGGGGTGTATGTACACCAGGGTCTGCCAACGGAGGATAATTTTTTCGGTGAGTTTGACGCCGCTCGCGCTGCAGCTTCTTCTGTTGAGGGGGCGGGTTGTGGTTTATATAAAAGGGTTTTGAGAATAAGAAAACATATCTTTCTTAGGAGCAAAGAAGGACTCGTGAGCTGTCTATACACCCCAACACCCTAAACCCTAAACCCTAAACCCTTCACCTGCACATACATATATATATACATTTATATTTATTATTTATTTATTTTTTTTATTTAATTTATTTAGTTTTTACATTCTAATAAACCAAACAC